CAGTAAATTAACAAAAGTATTTTTATCATAAAAAGAAAAACTGTTATCAAAACTGGAAAGTTATCAAAACTGACAAGCCGCAAAAAATGTCCTTTCTGCAGTGTAAAAAGCACCAAAACTTTTGAGGTTTCAGTCCAAATATCAAAGAGAAAATTAAGCCTAACAAAAATGAACAAAGTTATTCAATAATTTAGTTAAGCGACATTTGGCAAACCTTGGTTGGATGGTCTTTTGTACCTTGACAGTGAACCTGAAAAGATGAACAGCAACGTTTTTTCAAAACTTTGTTTTTTTACTAAAAAGTCTCCAAATGAACTGCAAATACTGATAACGCATCTAAAATCACTTACCGTTTGTCAAGGCATTTGTTAGGTATGATATATCCACCATTTGAGAGGAAAATGAGCAAAACTATCCAACAAAACTACAAATAAACCAAGCTCCAAACCCAAAACCCAACTGACACTCGCGACTCAAGTCAACCGCTTGAAATAAAAAGGCGGGAAAATACTCGACTCTGATTGGACGTTGCACTATAACACAGGGAAACCAACCGATAAGTTTAAAACTAGACCACAGGTAGCCCAAGCTAAGCGCTTTACTCAGTATGTCTTTGTACGTACCTTTTGTATGTGAAACGTAAAATTCAATAAAAGTGGCAAATTTCAATAGATTACTTTTCAGAACTGTCAATCACGGAAAAACGTACTTTTTATATAGTTATTTGAGGACTTGAAATCACAAAAGGTCGACACTGAACTAAAACACTTTTGGATGCACCCGTGGTGGTCTGAAACGCATTTTCGAAATTTCGCGGGCTAAATATGCCGGCCGGAAAACCTAAGACCCCATTTGCCAATCTCTTTTATTATTCATCAAACCATTCATCTAACATCTATCCATGTTGTTAATCTTTTTATTCGCTTGAACACTGAAGCATTAAACGATTTAAAATCGTCAGCAAATTACGTTGCCTTACGCCCGATGCATACTCGATGGGTGAGAGAAACAGAAGGAAGGAAACAACAGTTTTATGGCCGCCAATAATCCAACAGACCACACACAAAATTTTAATTGTTTTCCTCATGGCAAATAATGATTTAAATCGCCTTATCCGTTAGGGGCGTCGGCTTACCAGAGACGCGCTGATTGGCTCAGACTTTATCACTAAAAGGTAGTAAGTACTCGTGTTTTTTATGTGGCGAAAACCTTAAAGCAATAACACGGCACGGTGGTAAGTAGAACTATTCTAACGAAGATAAAAACGCGCAAAAACAAAATCTAATAGTCAAGGTGTAATAGTCAATAGACACAAAAGAAAACAATGGAATTAGAGACTACTAAAGTGTATTAGTCTAATAGAGTGAAGACATTAAAC